ACCGTTCTGTGTAACGAAAACGAAACCTTTATACGAGCTGCTGAATTCTAGATAGTTTTATGCTAAAGGTACGGAACCGTTTCGAAGCTGGCAGTATTTTGGTTCGTTCCGAATAAACGCACAAAACCAATACCAACTTGACTAAGGCAAAAATGTTCGGTATTATGTGTGCAAAACCTTACTTTTTCTTACTGAGGTCCTAATCGTTCATTATAAGTCGTGGGTTAGCTTTATGAACTTATACGAAGCTATGAATAGTTCTTTGTACATGAAACCGAGCCTTCAAAGACACAATTGGATGATGAAAAGTTTCGCATGTACTATACTGAACCTTTGATAAACATACGAAACCCCGCAGGGGTTTGTATTGAATGTACTGAGGTTTTAAGAATTTACAAACTCGTTATTGGTTTCGACCATTCCACACGAAACCAAGTCTAGTTTAGTTTAAAATGTTCTAAACTTCTCGAAAACTGACGAACCATCGATGCGTCGGCGTGAAATCGTCTGATCCATCAAGTTGCCTGCGAAACTAGGAATAGTTTCGTAGAAAATTGACGAAACGTCTCATCACACTCCTAAACCGCTGATGGATCTGTAGACATGTTACAGAACTACGAATGGTTTCGCATACCGCATTAAAAGCCTGTGGACGATTTTTACTACCAATTGCCGAACCTTCTCGACGCTACGGAACTTAAAATCGTTCAGTCGAAGTATACGAAATCTTTTAGGTCCGGTAAAACTCCTTCTTCTTTTTTGAGTGTAGAAGCCAAAGCCGAAAATACTACCATCAAACCTCTGGATGCAACCCGATATTTGGGCGTAATTATCGACAAGGAACTGAAGTGGAGAAATCATCTTCAACATCTCGAATCGAAAATGGCTGAACGCATTAGTCTTCTACGATACTTAGCCAAATCAGCGCAAGAACCTAACCAAAAGACGATGATAAACATCTTCAAAGCGATTGCAAGACCAGTGATGACATATGGGTATCCAATTTTACTAACAGCAAATGACAAAGTATGGGATCGGCTTCAAATCATCCAAAACAAAGCGCTTCACGCTACTCTCGGCCTGTTGCTCTCTACTTCTGTCGAATATATACATCGGATATCCAAAATACCGAAAATCAAAGAATATGCACCATCACTGCTCCACAAGTCCATTAACACAGCCTCATCAAACGCTCCTGCAACACATTCAAGACATCGTAGACCAACTATGACAAAACACCAGCTCCAGTGCTATAGGACAATCTGCGTCGTCTCACATGACGACGGCAGATCTAAGACAAATGACTACTGACACTGACTACTTTTCGACAACACATAAATCCACAGACTATGACGACAACCTCTAAGACAACCCGACCATCTTTCTGTCTCTCCTTGTGAAGACAGCTAACGACTATACGTGACATACACATCTTCGATATTCTGTTTCATCCGTTCTACACGCTATGTTAACGGCAGCGTGAAACAACACTCTCCACTATTAACGTTAGCGTCGAGAACATAGATCATTCTTAAGTCGGCCGAATCTGTGCGAAAATTGTTATATCGGAATCACGTACAAAATATTTGATCTAGAAAGAAGAAAAGACGATCATCGACGTATACAATAGCTCGTTCCTGCACATATACGTCGACGTTCCTTCGGAGATAACTACCACTACAATACCACCCAACACCGCAACCTATCAAACTCTCTCTTTTTTATTTTAATTTTCTTTTCTCTACGAGACATAAGACATTAGTCATGCGTCTCTTTTCTCTCCTGCCAGCTTTATAACCAGTCTGTCCGTCCGTTGTTTGTTTCTTCTCTCTCTTTCCTTTCGTTCTGTGTGTTTGTTTTCTTTTCCTGTAAACTGGTTGTTCAATTACAAATAAAGCGTTGACTCCAAAAAAAGTCTATATAGAAGACATTTTCTTTTACAGAACAGTGAATATTTATTGGATATGATAGAATAGAAACATTTTTTCATTACCAGACTGGCAAATGTGTGTGAGTAATATTTGTTTTTCTTTCCTTTTCATAAACGTGACAGTAAAAAAATAAAACAAGGTAAACTTATTGTACGGCCTTATTGTACGGCCTTATAGTACGGAGCAGTGTGTCGTTTGAATATAAAAGAGGCACGTTAGCATGACAGATGCACTTTCATCTATACATAAATATTTCACCAATAATAATATCACATAAAATCAAATAAGTCAAAAATTTGTCAATTCTGCTAGAGTCGATGGCTTCCAAAATTAATATTGGCTTCATAGGATTATCAAAAGGACGTTGGGCTGAGAATGCTCATGCGCCCTATTTGCAGAATTCTCCAATTTATACCATAAAAGCAGTAGCCAATTCAACAATTGAATCAGCACGATCCGCTGCAAATGCGTTTGGTATTGAGAAATACTATGGTACACCAGAGGAAATAGCACAAGATCCAGATGTTGATACGATTGTTGTATCTGTCAAAGTTCCATTGCATAAACGTTTGATTACGCCGGCTGTACTACAAGGAAAAAATGCTATTGTTGAATGGCCTCTTGCACGAAATCTTCAAGAAGCAGAAGAATTAGCTGAATTAGCTCAATCAAAAGGTATAAAAACAATGGTCATATTGCAAGCACGTCAATTATCAGTAATTCGAAAAATGAAAGAAATTATTGATTCCGGAAAATTAGGTCAGATTCTTTCTATTCATATATATGCCAGTGGTATTGGTTGGGAAGGTCCAGTCGATACTAGCAATGCTTATATTGCTAATATTGAAAATGGAGCAACGTTGGTTTCTATACCAGGTGGTCATTTAATAGATGCTATGTGTTATGTATTTGGAGAGTTTGAATCAGTGACAGCAACGACTCACAATGCAAGAAAAACCATCGAAGTTCGAGATGATAAAGGAAATAAGCTTCGAGACGAACCAAAAACATCGTATGATCAGATGACTGTTAGTGGAGTTTTAAAGTCTGGTACATATGCATCGGTTCATTTGCGTGGTGATTCTTATAAAAGTGCTAATCTACTATGGGGAGTAGAAGGTACTCAAGGTGAATTACAGATAAAAAGTCCACTTGGGCATTTGCAACTTTCATCGCCGACACTTTATGGCAGTTTTAATGGTGGAGATATGACAGAAATCAAATTGGATGGAGAACAAAATCTTTCATTCAATGTTGGTCGAGCATATGATGAATTCGCCAAGAAAGATGGTGTTTATCCGACTTGGAAAGATGCGGTAGTTCGTCATCGAATGATCGAAGCTATTTATAAGAGTGCACAGACTGGTACGAAACAAGAATACAAAACAACATATTAATCGAACTATAAAACATAAAAATTTGTCCTTACAAACATATTTTACTTTGAACTTTTTTCGAAATAAAGTCATCATTACTCATTAGTGTCTATAGAGTATTTATAATAATCTATGTGGATAATTAAGAATAAGTGAACAAGGCGCAAAATGAATGATACTTTCTATTGTCTTCTTACTTCAATATTTCTATGATCTACAGATCCTAGTTTGAAGATGCCTGTGATGATCTATAATACAAGAGATACTATATGATAAGTGTATCCTGTATTCAATCGAAACAAATCGAATCTCTACTGTATGCTCCCCGTCCTTTCATAGTTCTCAGTACATACAGTATTACGCTACAGAAAAATATCAAGCTTTATAAATAATATCTAAGATCTATCGCTATCATACAATGAGTTGATGAGCCAGATGATCATGCGATCATAGTCTTTTCAAAACACAGA